ATGCAGATCTTTAAAGGAACACTTTAATATTTTTAAAATGAATGTGTCCCTTGTACCATTTAGATCCAGGGCTCCAAGTATAAACTAAAATAAAGTAAAGTTAAACCTTTGGTCCAGCACTGTCCTGGTCTTGTTGGTCTGTCCTTATGATCTCATCCAATCAAATACTTCTCCATAAAAAACATTGAAGGCCCCTTTTTGCATGCATGGCAAGTGCCTTCCTGTGCGAACAGGATTCTTCTCGTAGACAAGCATTACAGTGCTTCTCTATAAGGGAGACTTTCCTGCAAATGTGACAACTGTAACCTTTTACAGCCGAGACAAGAAAATGTGTAGCTTTTGTATGGTTGATAGTCACTAGAGACACACCTGGTGGAACACTGCTGTTTCTCAGAAACAGATATACTTTTATTTGTGAACCTGCAGGGACAGTAGCTGCCAACCAAGACCACTATATTAAGCTGTAGTGGTTTTGGTGCTTTGAGTGTGCCTTTAACATTTTACCTTTCCCTATTGTCTCCTACACTGTACAGCTGGTTCTCGCTCTTTTCTTTTATTTAAAAAAAAGTATTCCTATAGCTTTTGTTTGACACATGACATATACAGCGGCCTCAGAAATGTAGGATAAAACAGCAATTTGTGTGGGTAGACTGATATCCAGAGCTGCATAAAAAAATGAATTTATGTCAATGTATACAATTTTATTGATTGATTTATTTGTTCATCCTTTAAATAAATATTGGGCAGATTTCTATGAGATTATATGGTATCCTTCTTCTGACAACGTTTCAGACCGCTCTGGGAATGATAGAACATTTTGAATGTAGAGAAAGTGTGACGCAATATGCAAATACAATTATTAAGGAACTTCATGGCAAGTTAGCAATGAAATTTAATGATAACATCACCAACAGGAAATACAATGAATGTCATATACATTGGTACTGTTAAACGAAATGATTGAGTTGTACGTAGTTTGCAAGGTGCTGCAAAACTTGACGAATAACCCAAGTCTGTATAACGACACCTGCTCACTCTAACTTACTGTGTGAAAGGAGGGTAGAGGGGTCTGCCATTTCTTATTTATAGGGATTAAAGAGACGCCAACCACCATACCTACTGTGGATTACTGTAGACGTTACGGGTGCTAGGAAGCGGTCTATGAAAACATATCTCATATTCTTGCTACGGTGATGATCATAATGCTATGATGTTTGTCTGCAAACTCTGGTACCTGCTGATATAATATATTGGGAATTTAAGTTTCTCTAAGGAGCTGTCCAAGCACCGGAACACAATTAGCACTACCAAAGAAGTATTAGGATCCTACAAGACCAGTGACAGAACTACCACTGGTGCTGGTGCAGCTGCAGCGGGGACCATCGGGTGGCCCATGCACTTACCTGATGGGTATTATTGTTTTATTGCTGAACAGAGGCCCAGTCAGGCACAGCGGCTCTTTAAGACCGCCACTGGGCCCTTGTAGTATCTGCCGGCTGGGAGTAAGTGACAGCTAATCACTTCCTCCCAGATTCATGCAGAGAGTGCCGTGCGGGAGGAGGAGGCTGCACAGGCTTAGGCAGCATGAGGAGAGAGGATCACAAAGAATCAAACACTAACACAACATGCAAACACACACCTACATTCAAACTCCAAAATTATATGCAAACACACCCCTTCAATCAAACAACAACACTACACACAAGACCACATGTCCATTTAAAAGCCAACACTACATACAAACATAACACTGCATTCAAATGCAAACACTACACACAAGCATACCACTGCAATCAATGGCAACAGTACATACAAATACACCCCTACATGCACACATATACTCTATACAAAAACATGCTTACATACTCACAAATACAATCCTGCAAAGATCCCCAGCTGGCATAGCATCCCTGGAGTTCGATAGATGGGGAGCTACCTTTGGGCCACTCTTGCACCAGGACCCTCTCTACATTAGTTACACCACTAGGCAGGCTACTGGTTTGGAACCTCCTCTTCACTCTTCACAAAAGGAAGGTGCACGGGGCCCAGCATATTCATAGTTCCAGGGCTCTGTTTAACCCATGAGCCTTAGGCAGCCACCTATGGTCAGCTTATGGTTAATTCTGTTTTGAGCACTACACAGTAAGCTTTAGCAGTTATGGCACTGAGTGTCCATTTATGGTATCAAGTGATCAGGAAAGGCGACAGATGTTTCAAGAATGAAATAACTTTAGAAATCAGTAGTTTACATAAGGAGTCATTCTTTAAAAATTTCCAAACGTTAAAATATTGTTTTAAATCATTGCAGGGATCAGCATTTCTGGTGGCATTGAATCAAAAGTCCAACCAATGATTAAAATTGAGAAGATTTTTCCTGGAGGTGCAGCTTTTGTGAGTGGTGGTCTCCAGGTAAGTTCCTATACCAGGGCCTGATTTTAGTGATATGCCCCAGATATGTGCTTACTGTTATAATCCACTTTGTGTTAAAGAAAATGGAAAGTATAAAATGATCAAATCTTCCTTTTTAAGGCTAGGGAATGCTGCCGTGGTTCAGACCAGGGTCATCACAACTGCCCAGAACATGGTTTCCTAAATTAGATCCAAAACAGATTGTCTGGAACCATTTCAACTAGCCCGATATACGCAAACCTCTAAAACAAACTGAAAAGGGATATAGAGTAGTACCCACTCCCCCCCACCAAACCCTACTGAGTGAGCATCTTTCCTTCGAAATGAGTGTAAAATACCTTAGATACCCCAGTTGTTAATAGTAATTTATACATACAACAGAAAACTTCAATGTAACGTGAAGTATAAAATAGACTTTTTAAAAATAGTCTCTCCGATAAGCTGTTGCTGGCTTGTGATAAGTATGTTGAGAGCAGTTATTAAAGGACCACTATAGGCAACCAGACCACTTCA